TCAATTATTTGCTTAGCTGTGTTTGATCCTTTCAGATTTGACAAACATTGTGGTCTTTGCCTTATTTAAGCACTTCTGTGCTGCATTGTCGCTATATGTTTTTGAGTATATAACAGAAGAATCTCAATTTCCTGCTTAACCCAGTAAATTACAAGAAGGTTTTTCCAGTACTCTGACTCAGCAATGTTGGTGGCAATTTACTGAGTTACAAAGTATTTTTCACAGCCTATTTGTCTAATACAGTAAAATTGATCCAAAATTCAATGTAAGAAAAAATGTTTGGTGAGATTTTTAGTATCTTAGCATTTGCTCTGTTTACATGAATTGACAGCTTTCCTCCTTGATTTGGAAGAATCTATTTAGGCTGGCTTTAATAGCAAAACTTGTGATTACTTTGTGGGAGCTTAAACTGAAATCTCTATTTTCAGTCTGAAGTACAACGGGCTTGTTTGAAAAAAAAACAAGAAACACCAACCCCGGAGTAGAACTGTTTTTAGAAGAACTTGACAATAACCTCAGATTGCTTTCCTTTCCTGCTCCATTAATTTAAATTTAATTTAATTTTAAATTCTAAAGCTTCAGATCACAAACAGCAAAATTTTGAGTGCTATTGAATGTTACATCTATTTTTTATTATTGTTAAGTACTTGAGAATTAATAGATTATCTGTTGAATGCTGAACTTGCAAAGCAGTATGCCGTTAACAAAGTCAAAGAGTATCAGTTGAAGTTTACAGTTACATCTGTTTTGGCTGTGTTATTTAATTACTGGTATCACTCAAACAGCTAGGAAATGAATGCACTTCTCGAAACATCAGTACAAGTAGCTTTGTTAACATCAGACAAACTGCACTAGGTTTATTTCCAAAGAGCTTATTGATACTGGTGTCTGGGAAGGCATAGGTTCCAGCCTGGGTCTTTCTCATACCTCTGGAACTCAAATCTTTATTCCCCTTCGGAGCTAAGGAGTGTCAACTTGTGGAACTTTGATAACCTCAGGTGGGAAACTCTGGCAGATGGTTTTCTGAAGCTTTCAGGAACTTAATTACTTCTGAGACCCCTGCCTCTTCACTAGGTTTGATTAAAATCAGCAAAAGGTGCCAAAATTTTTAGAGGACACATACAGGTATCTACAAAGAATAGTTGCATAAGCTTTACAAATTGTTCCTGCACAAAATGGCTGTTTTTCACCAACACGTTTAACTTCCCTCATCAACTGCCTGCATTTTATACGGCATGTGACAACCAGGTAGGTTTACTGCTGCCATGCAGAATATATAATGTTTGAGTTCTACCTGCTTGCCTGCAATGTGTGACATCTACCCTGCCTTCAATTTTCCTGAAATTTGTTGCAACTTAATTGGTGAGCCCACTACCTCTCTGTCAAATTTAGCTAATCCCGGTTGAGGTTTGGAAGCTTCTGGGCAGGCAGTCGAGGTTTACAGACAGAAGCAAGGTTTCTGTAATCTCACTATCTTTATAGAAATCTCACTAAGAAGTCTACTCTGGCAGACTCTCCTGTTGTAGTTAAATACAAGGATGTTCTTCATAGTATGATTGGTTGTAAGGCAGAAATTCTTTAATGTATGGCAATATATTTTTTCTTTAACATTTGAATGCCAAATTGAGCTTAATCTATTCTGTGTTAATCAGCATTTGAGACTATCTCTATCTTGTGATTTAGTAAACGTGCCAAAAAGCTCCCATTAATCCTGTTTCCCAAGGACCTCAGATATAACTTGGTAAGTCAGAAATAACACAGTGAATCTGAGCTCTTCTAGAATTGAATTAATGGTATCTCGTGTAATGAAATCTGCAAAGGGAAGATATGGACAGTCTTAAGATGCAATAATTCTATATACTTTGCACTCATCTAAAAGCACATGGGATACATTGTGAGCCAGAATATTCTGAGATATTCAGAACACTTTCTTTTGAAGACTTCTAACTCTTTAAAGCAAGGAACTAAAGCAAAGTAAAATTAAATGCGACATTCATTTTCTGCCTACCTTGTCCAAAAATCAAACCGTTTGTATTCTATTTCACTTTATGCTAACAAGTGATCCCTTCACAGTGTATAATTCTTTGGAATAATTTGAAGTTGACATCACCACACTTTTCTCATTGAGGAGAAATTGAAATCCATGGTACTGGAGAGAAAGGTGTAATTAAACTATCTAGTTAGGAGTGGGGAAGTTTTAGGTTCAAATCCTTTCTCCTGTGGAGTTTTTATTCATTTTATCCCCTTACATATGGAATATAAAGCCTCTAATGGGACCAGGACTTAACTGCTCCTGACTGAGCATCCTAAACACTAAACTAAAGCGGCTTTCTGTTGACCAGTGGCAAAACTCAAACAGCATGACTGGAGAGAGTACCCTGTCTTCCACAGTTTCATGCCTTTCCAAGGCAACAGCCTGGTTGATAAAGCATTGTGCTATGAGCCATGAGTTTAAATAACCTTTGACTGAGAAGGTCAGTTCTCTGTAGTCTGATGCAAATGTTATAACCATTAGGACGTTCTGTAGAAGAGCCTCAGATGTTTAATATTTAAAATCTGTAGTTCATTTTTTGACACAACCCAGTATCAATACAAATCACTGATGGATTTCACTATTAGTTGCATCAGAGCTTTATTACTTGACATGCTTAGTTCATTTGCATAAATCAGTCACCAAGCACAGAAAAGAGGGATGATGTGGAACTGGAAGTATCTTCTAGTTCATTTATCTGTTTGGGTGTTGTTTTTTTTTCATGGTAATGAAATCAATGAAAGTTACATATCACTAAATACCACTGTACTGTCAAACTTTCATGTGATTTAGTAGCATTGTAAATTAAAGTCTGAAGTATATGCACGGGTATGTCCCCCTATCCCTATCAACCCCATGCTCTGCACTTCATGGGCCCTTGCTTGTGGGCTGAGACCTGTCCTTGCAGAATTTAACTGCACAATGGAGTTTGTAACCCAGAGAGGGTGGTGAGACTTTCTTCTTTGCCCTGCTCTTTCTAAGACATGAAACCCTCTTACCACACCACAAAAAACCCTCTGCTTTCAGCCATTCCCCTCTTTAAACCCACAGTTTTCTGCTGACTCTGTGTGTGTGGTGGTTTTGGTTTTCTCTTGTGCTTTGGTAGTAAAAAGAAAAGTCTTTCCAGACAGATGGTGGCCACAACTTGCCTCATGCTTAGCTCTCTCTCATTAATGTATCTAGCACAACCCCAGCACTTACAGAAGAAAAGATTTTTGAGAATCAGCAACAGTGAGTCCAGAAAACACTGTGCTAGTTGGTCAGGACTGTGCAGGGTGGCACTGAAGACACAGGAGTAGTATTGCGGATAATGCAGCAGTATAAGTTCCTGATAATATTGACACGATTTAGTATTACATATATTTAAACTCATGACATTTTCATAATAGTATTTCATCCATCACTCTGATCCTACCGGATTCAAAGGTAGGGTCAACTACACATAAATCATTCTTGACAGAAACTCATCAACACGCCTAGGTAATCTTGTAGAGGTTTGCCACTAATTCTGCCTAGCAATTTACATTCTACAAGAAATTTTATAGACTTAGGAGATTTTATTTTAAGACTTTTTTTTTCTCAAACTGTTCAGCTTTACAACATATATATATATATTTTGGGTACATTTTAAATATTGTGTATTTTAAATACATCAGGTAAGACTAAAATTTCCCCTTTGCATAGCAGATGGTTATTTTCACCAGCTGTCAATAAATTTCAGAGAAACGTTTAAATTGTAACCATTTAAAAGTTTTATTTTGTAAATGTTGTGGATATTGGAAACAGAGATAAAAAAACTTGACTGCCTCGGTTTATTTTAGTTTAAAAATAAACTTACAGTAAAATCAATCTGAAGGTATAAGAAGTTTTCAAAGACATCTCAAAAAGTGATTAATAAATCGGGTGAAGTTGTTATGAAGGACCTTGTAATGACTTAGTGATTTAACCTTTTGTGACTCAAAAGTGCCATTAAGAACTTCAAGGCACAAACAAAAGCAGAAGTGACTAGGAAAGAAGATCGTGCTCTCTCACCCTGGAGCAATGTTTATATATCAAAGTTATTTCTCTTAATTTTGCATTGTGTGCGTCTTTTCTGTTGTTTCCTCCTCCCATTTTCTGAAGGACTCACTTTCTCAAAAAGCAATGCCATTGAATAAACAACTAAAAACTATATAATTTTTTTTTTCCAAAAGAAGATGTTATACTAAACAAAGGTTTTGTATTATGAAGTTGGAAGGAACCCTTGTGATTACGTAGTCACATATGGATTTTTCATCCATGTGACTGCTGTGAATGAGTACCTTTGTGAACTAGAGCCTCTTTTTGAAGAAAACTCCAGTCAGCAATAGTATTTATTCAAGCTTTAATTCAAGGTCTAGTAGTACAGCATGTAGTGCCTCAATCATACGTACCTGAAACATGCACCTAAAAACTGCTGAGGTTTCTCTTATTGCCTCATCCATCACAGCTGAAATTTTCTCTTGGGTCAGAATGAATTGAAGTGTTGTGAATTGGACCTGGTACAAGAAGCAAATTTGAAGGCCCTTCTGTGTGTGCATGTATGTGTAAATAGATTTTTTTTTTTTTTTTTTTTTTTTTTAAAAGCCAAATTTTTTTGCCTTTCAAAAAAAAAAAAAAAAAAAAAAAAAAGTTCTAGGAAAAATATTAAACCCTTAAAGGTCCTTTCAAACCCAGACAATTCTATGATTCTATGATTCCTGCAGTAGGAACACCCGTTGCTTGCTTGGTGTTGTGTTGCTGGAGCATCCTGAGGCAGGGCAGGTCCCAGCTCCCACACTAACCCAGTAGGCTGCCATCAAAACCTTCAGGTTTTCTTTTTTCTTTCTTTCTTTTTTTTTTTTTTTTTTTTTTTATTAAAAGCCAGACTTTTCTGCCTATCTTCTTGTATGGTTCCAATTACATGAAGACAAAGGCAACTGAGTCTTCAAATGGTGTTTGTGTGCTCCAGGGTGACGTCAGCAGTGAAGATGTGCGGTATCCCCCTGCTTCGGGCTTGGCAGCAAGTTCAAAAAGGGAGCCGGAGGCTGAGGGCGAATCAGCTGTGCATAATGTGGACAAGCAAGCAGGCATCTCCCCCTCCCTGGGCAGTGCTTTAGAGCACATTGTGGAGCAGCTGGATGTTTTAACTCTAGTAAGTATGCAATAACAGATAACACTTAGAGTGGAAAATGATAATGCTGTCAAATGGGTAAAAAAAAACAACCCAGGAGCCATGTTCATAAATGAGAATAGTAGTGTCTATGGGGTTATTTTGAATAGTTGTATAGTCAAGTGACTGGTTTGTTTTTTTCCTTTCAGCAAATATTGATTGCATGTATTGTGTTTGCTAAAGTGAAAGCTTCCTGCTACATAATCATACAGATTATTGTATTTTTAACTCGGGATGAAAAGCGTCCCTATTTTTCAGTAGTGAGATTCTAGTGTAGATTTGCCAGAAGCCAGTTGTTTAGTAGACGTTGTCAGATTCCAGCTTGAACAGTCATGCATTAGCAGGGGATGAACAGAGTAAATTGGCAATGTACCATTAAATCCCTTTTCAAACTTAGTGTTCAAGGTGTTGGCTTAGGGCAGGGATCTAAGCAGTGGAATAATTCCTAGTGTCAGTGAAACTGCACAAATAGTAGTCTCTGTCAGTCACTCTGAGTCACTTGTTTGCAAATGCTCAATACTTCTTTTTAGTAATCCAGATTTAGCCAATCTATGTTTTAAGATACTACTCTGTAGTCTGTAATATATTAACGTTAACCCAAATCAAAAGGGAGTGGCTAAGGGTTTTTCTTCTGCTGCGTTTTTGCAATATATATGGTAATTCAAGAAATAAGTATGGAGTCAAGTCATCAGTTGAAAATTATTTGTGTAGTAAATTGGATTAAAAAGAAACAGCCAGCCTGTGTCCGGAAACCTACCTTTTCTGATGAAGGTAAACTGTTGGAGAATACCTTCTAATAGTTTGTTGTAGTTTTATTTTTTTCTCACTTGCTGTTTTTTTGGGGTGCCTTAGAAGTTCCTTTTAGGTTTTTTGGAAGACACCATTTGGGGTCACAAGTGATGGCTGGTTTTCTGTTGAAATATGGATGTAACTTTTTGCATCATTTTTATTTCAGAGTAATTTAAATATGCATCTATATACTTGTCTCTCCTTGAGAAAATATTTTGTGAAAACAATTTTAAACCTTCAGACAATTTCCATATATACAAAGCCGTTATTTTTAAAATACAGTGGTAAGTAGCCGAATAGCTAAGAAAAAGCCATCTTAAGATATTTTTTTCTTGTTGAGCTAAAATGATTTTTTTTTCTTATGTTACTGTGTTGCACAATGTTATAATACTGTGTGAGTAATATAAAAGCAAATTGAAATTACTGTCCTCTTCATGCAGACTATTTCAATCCTGGAACAACGTCTGACTTTGACTGAAGATAAATTGAAAGAATGCTTAGAAAATCAGCAAAAAATGTTACTTGAGGGAAGACAGGAAGAATAAAAGATGAAAATGAACTGTATTGATGAATATGTTTCATATATTCACACGGACATAACAAAAATGTTACTTCACTGGATTTTGATATAAGAAAAAAAAAAGCATCCTCTTTTTCTAACAAGTCAATGTAATAAAAACTGAAGAAAAATTGTACAACACGCCTAGACAGCGGTAGCAAGCAGATATTCTGGTTATATATTTAAGAAAATGTAGCACAGACAAGACTAATATTTTTCTAAAATCATTCCCATTGACCAGTACAGGACCCTTATTTCAACCTAATAAGTTCTTTGAATACAACTAAGCAACAAACTACATATTTTTAGGCAAATAGCGGTTATTACCGAAGTGCACTATGTCATTTTTTTAATTTGAGTAATGATTGTGAAAATAATACTCTTTGTGCTAAGGCAATTACTGAAGCACTTAAATGAAATAAGACCTAATTAGTCCTAACTCCAAAAATGCCAGAGGTTCTCTTTGTCCCTTACATACTCTCAAATATTTTTACCAAAAAGTAGCGACGTTTACTCCTGTAAACAATTTAGTGGATTGCAAGAAGATGTGGTGTAAAAACTCTTAGTTACAAATATGAAAATGAAGTCATTTAAACTTTGAAACCATAATTGCATCTATGTAAATTCAACTGCAGGACTGATGCAGCCCAGTACTTCTGTTTATCTCATCCCCATCAAAATTCATTTCTCGTATTTAGAAAAATAAAAACCAGCTTCATACTTCTGAAGAATATATTTCAACCAAACACAAAATGATGTGAAATCTGTATCACAAATACAAAAGATTCTCATCCTCCAAGGACTTCCACAGGCGCTCAAGCTTTGTGTGCTTTGAAAGTCCCCCATCAGTTAATGTGTTACAAATGAAGCTGTAAATCAGGAAAGACTTTGCCATGTATGATGATTTTGGTTTCATTTTTAATAAAAATGCAATTTTTAGATGATTGCATGTCTTTTTTTTTTTTAATAGAAAACTTCTTTGCTGCTTTATATCTGCCTACTATTTTTTTAAATGGCAATTGCAGAACACCTATTATAAAGCCAAAATCAAAATGAGGTAGTCATCCATTTCTGCAACTTCACATTTTATATGTTGAACAATAGGACACATGAAATGTGAAATTCTGCAAGTGACTGTATATAGATAAAGCCCATTTCCCAGGCTGAACCTCATTAACATCAACAGAGTTCAGCTTAAGTACAGAAGCTCACGGTGCAAATACTATTGCCGTTTGAGCCAAAGCAATGAGCAGTCAAATTTTCTTTCATAACTCTTTATTTTCCCTCAAAGTAATCACCCTCAGAGCCGGACACCACCTCACTTGCTTGGTAAACTCTGAATTTTACCAATAATTACTACATGTTTTCAGGTCAATCTTTAGTACTGTTTATCGCAAAGAAACCGTCTCTTACAAAGATTTTTAGATGCAACTATTTCTATGCAACTTCCTAGCACAGATCTTTTTTGGTGAAAGGATGATCTTACATATTCCAATGAAGACAGCCTGACCTTTGATTATGCAATTGTTTATAATGCTATATAATGCATAGCTATGTAAATACTGTCTTTTAGGTCAGATGTACTTTGCTTTATGCTTTTGCAAATACTCTTGTGGGCTTTGTATTTTCTTGGCTGCATTAGAAGATGCAAAACAATGTAGCTATTAAAATCCTTTGCTTGATTCTTGTTTTCTCTGGGTGGATTTTATATGTATGTTTTAAATATCTAGGTTTTTGTTGTTGTTGTTAAGCTTTTCAGGATTATTTATCAAGAAGATTTGGAAATTTCTTTTACTTCTGTATTTTTTAATAAAATCTCTGCTGAAATTTTCCTTTCTACCTTAGCTCCAATCACTAATCCTTCTTCCTTTCCAGCACTTATTATCTGGAGCATTTACTACTTAATCCAGTTTATTCCTCCTCTGTTCTGAGTCCGATGAACTAACGTAACATTTGCAAGTTAAGATAGGTTCTTGTTGTTCTATGAGGTGGTCTGTTGATATTGAAACTCAACATGCATGATGCTTGGGATGTCTGTATAACTAGAGATAGTCGTTTGAGAACAGGATGGAGGTATTTCCCCGAGCTGTGATGGCTCTCCTAAAACACAACCGCCACCAGCTAACATGATGTTTCTTTTAAAGGAACACTGATGTGGGCTCATGATCTCATTCTCTGGATCTGTATAATTTCAAATAAAGCTATCGAATAGAAAAACTTCCTTTAAAAGTACCTGAAGATACTGATTAAACTTGCAGAAGCGTTTGCTCTAGGGTTTGTACTCAGGCAGATAACTGGTGACTTGACTGATCTGAATTATCTTACAGAGCTAGAGAAAAATGACTGCTGTTTTTAGCCTTGGTTGTGCTTCTGCACCATGTGAAAAAGTAATTGCACAGGTCTTCAAATTATTATGAAAAGTCTATCTGTGTTGCAGACTGCAGGGAAGTACTGAAGGTTCTGGGGATACCTTACAGCAGCCTTCCAGTACCTGAAGGGAAACCTACAGGAAAGATGAGGAAGGACTCTTGATCAGGGAGAGGTGAGATGGGACGAGGGGTGAGGATTTTAAACTAAAAGAAGGGAGATTTGGATTAGATATTAGGAAGAAATTATTTATTGTGAGGGTGGTGAAACACTGGAACAGGTTGCCCAGAGACTTGTGGATGCCCCATCCCTTGAAGTGTTCAAGGCCAGTCTGGATGGGGCTTTGAGCAACCAGCTCTAGTGGGAGGTGTCCATGACCATGGCAGGGGGTTGGAACTTGATGATCTTTAAGGGTCCCTTCCAACCCAAAACATTCTAAGATTCTATGAACCACATACCTGATGCAGTCCTCAAGCAGAGTTATCCCTCCGATAGTAAATGTAAATAGGCCACCCTGTTGGAGAAGGACTGCTTCCAGCATCCAAGCCAGCTACTGCAAAAATGGCTCAATTGCATATTAAAAATATTAAATCTAGTAGATCCCCAAGGTTTGTGGTGGAGAGAGAAAAGGTGGCAGCAGGAACAACCTCTCCTGCCAGTATTGCTGGGAGTCTGTCTCTGGAGGAACCCAACTTCAACCTCCTGAAATGTCAAAGCTTTGCACAGTAGCTCAGCAACTCACAGCAAGTTCTTCTGCAGACATCTTGAAACAAAAATGCTCTTCCAAATTGAAAGAAACACTGTCAGGTATTACTGTGTCTTAAATTTTATTGGTAATTCCCATCAAAGTTTAGTGGAATTTTAATGGAATTTTTATCTTGGACATTACGTGAAGCATGATCTTGAGGCAATAAAGGTATTTCTCTCAGTTTTTCATTCTGGATGGCAATATGCACTTCCTTTGGGAGCGTGTTTAGAGGTTCTCATTATCACTGTGGGGGCAGACACCAAATGGTGAAATGTTGCAACTTTGGACCTTAAGGAACTTCACTTTTTCTTTTGATCTGAACATAGAGGTTTTCAAATAGCAGGACACAATCAGACTGAGACGTCAGTTTATGCCAATAATCCGTTGTGTTTATGGACCAACCTGACAACTCAAACTCTATTCTGGGGTTTTCTCTTTTTTATTTTTTTGGAGCTTGTTTTATTTTTGGATTAGTGAGTTGGTTTTTTGTTTGGTGGGTTTTTTTGAACACACCACTACATTCTCCAAACATCTTCAGTATTTACTTTTTACTACTGCTGACATTTTTTTATACGCTTACAGTTTTGGAAAGCAGGTTGCTGGAGGCGAATGTGTCTGAACAACTCCCTCATCTTTGTGAGATTGTTGTTTCTTGCTTGTATACATGTAAGATAATAACTCATTGTTTCTTTATGGCGAGAAATTTAAACTATAGTTTTAAATTTAGATTAAACTAATCTAGCTGGAGAAATTCTGGTAGAATAGGTTCTCCTCGCCATTTTATAATGGCCTGAATAGATCCCTGTATGTGAGGGATTTGAGAAATGCAACTTCCCACATTTGTTTATGTTTATTTAAATAAATAACTATGCTGTACTATTTTTAGGATAAACAGGTTTTTGTGGGTTTTTTTTTTCTTCTTAAAGTCTTATTACAGTGTTACTGCATTATTTTCTTTGCCATATCACAGCACAAAACTACTCTTGAGTTTTCTGCTGAGGGATGGTGGCTGGGATGTGAATGCATTTCCAAGGACGTAGCTTTATGTAACCTGTTTACCTTGTAGGGCTTTTAAAAATCAGAAATTCTGTACTCTTTGCTCCAAACAATTAATGAATATGTATGTTCACATTGGACCCAGGAACAGTATGTTTTTGTCAGAGTGCCCCCTCAGGGACTTTTGCACGCTTCGGATGCATAATACAATTGAAGCCGTTTCTTTGTGAGAAAATAGGTTAACGACTTGCCAAAAGGCAGATGTTAATTGGAAAAAGTGCATACAAGTCCTTTTCTTTACAATGTATATGGGTTGCATTTGTTATGACTTGCATCCAAGAACAGGTGCAATTTCAATTGACTCAGCTAACAGGATGGGCTGAGTACACTCCTCACCGATTGCACCAGATATTTTAAATCCAGCAGAAAAAAAAAAAGACTTTCTAAAATAGTCAGTGAGCAATGAGCTGCATTTATTACCTGTTACAAAGCATATTTATAACTTAGTATTGTACTTAAGCATCTTAATAATATTTAAATAAGGCCTTTGATTATTTATTGGTATTGAAGGATTTTTCTGGTGAGGACTGAGGAATCATATACAAGGCAAAATGTGTCATCCCTTTCAAAATATTTATTTTGTAAAAAGAGTCAGCAGGTCTAGGCAAGTAACCATGACTGGTCTAGACAAGGTACCACAACTTTTTTGTAAATGAGACTTAAAGCAGAAAAATTGCTTATTTTCACTAAAACGTTTTCTGCCACAAAGCTACACGATCAAATTTAAGATCTTCACCTTGCCTTGCTTCATTTCCCCTGTCTTCAGAAGCAAACATTAGTAAAACAAGTGGAAAAAAACCATCCGGGCATGTCAGGGTCAGAAGAGTTGCCATTTGATAGTTTAATAGTTTGATTGCAAGAGTTTCTGAGAATTTCTAGGCAGCTCATATAAGTCCAGTGGAGCAGGGACTTCGGTTTGTAACTGTGTGCCTCACATCGCCTTGTCCTTCAAAAGCCATTCTCTCTCACCTGGGGAGGGCTGAATGTAAAATTTGTCTGTCTGGGAAGCAACGATGGTCTAGACCAGCGCAGGAACGTCTACTTCAGGAATCCCTTGGGAGCTTTGGCTTTAGCAGGAGCACTGAGTCTGCTGGAGACCGGGGTCACACGATTTTCCCACGCCTCTAGCAGGGACCTGGGACTCAGGGGACTTGGTGCACTTGCAGAGGCAAGAGTGGGCTGAGAAGAAATGCTGTGGGTCTCAATGCAATCTAAATATAGGATTCTGCAGCTCAGAGCAGTAGCTGGGTTTGTAAGTCCGTTCACGGCCTGTGCCCTTACAGACCAGGATAAAACAGAGGGACCCAACTTCTCTTCAAAGCTGCTAAAGAGGAAGCAATTGCCAGAAGAGAAGAAGAAAAGACAACCATGAGCTGTCTTTTTCATCCCTTTGTGCTTTGTATTGTAATGAAATAGTACCTCTGTCTCGAGTTTTTCCCTCCTCCTAATCCCCAGAGGAAATCTCTGCTCCTTTTTAGAGAGATAAAACCTTAGGACAAAGAGAAAGTAGCAGGAACTGCCAGTCTCTGTGGTATAGAGTGTCACTGAAGCCTTTTCTGGCCACGGCCATGGAAGGTAAAGGCTTCCCGTGCTTATTCCAACACCTGTATTAAATGTCAGTTCTCTCATAGGACTCAGAAGACTTTTAAGATTCATAAGCAAAGCACGTTTGCAGCGATCTGCTGTTTATTGGGACTTTATGAACAAATGTGATATAGAAAGAAGCCTGGGAAGGTCAAAGCAGTAAAATCCTTTCTCTGATCTCTTCTAAGAAAGATTCGGGTGAGCCTTATGCAAAGTTTCATGCTACCTTCATTTCTCACGTCTCAAAAATAAACATTTAGGATGCAATGCACTTGGGCGGTGAGAAGGACAGAACGTTCCCAGCAGCAATTCTTCCTCATGAGGACACTTGTTGAACATTTTTAATCATTCCTTTTAGTACTATTTTCACCCCATGATACATGCTGGGACCAGAAGACCCAGAATGTTTGCTACATCCTAGAAGGAGCAACTCGAAAGAGAAAGACAAGACAGTTGCTGATGGTTTCTGACAATATCCAAATTCTGCACTCATTAGTGGGTGTATTCTGTTTAGTGATGCTACACCTGAAAATTAATCTTGCAGGCAAAAGCAGGGTTTAGCTCTTAATCTGTAAGATTTCAAAATCCCTGTGCTGCACAAGACCAGCTTTCCCTAAGAAAATTTTACAAGTGTAATGATGCCATTACCTTTTCAGTTAAGCAGTGAGTGTAATCAGGCAAAGCATAGTAGATTATAATATTTAATTGTACGTAACCGTACTGAGTGGTTTCGGTCTGCGCTGATGCCTCTCTACAGCTTCATTGCTAAAACACTGCGAGCTCTTGTGCAGCTTCTGCAATCTATTCAGTATAGACCCAGCCTATAAATAGCCGCATTATTGGAAGACTGTGAGAGGTTCATTAGAGAAGTTGTGACAGCCTCGTTCGAGCCAGAGCTGATCTAGTACCACTCCAAGTCACCAAGGA